AATATAATATAGAATATATGGTATTTATAGCATATGTAATAAACACATCTCCTTATAAATAATAATTCAGATACAACAGGAGTATGTGCTAACTGCCTACGTGTATTACTACAGGAATTAATCAATGTCAAGTTTTGTGCAGAAATGGGAACTAGCAGGCATATGCCATCCAGCTTTTAGTCTTAACAAAATCCAACACTAAAATGAGATCACACCAGCACTGACACAGCACAAAAACAAAGAGTGGACAAAGAGGTACAAAAGCACCTGCTATGGCTACTGACTCTTGATATTCTAAGCCTGGTTTGTTAAGACACTGTACAAATCCTGCATTCTGTTAGTTAACTGTTATCGGTTTTGTCATTTAACAGTGGCCACAAAGCAAAAACCGCCATTTGAAACTGTGAGATAGAAAAATGAGTACACTGTGTTGACACCTTGTGGCGAAGCAGACAAACAGTTAGAGATGAAGACAGCTGCAAGAGCTTATTAATCATGTGAGGACCAGAGACTGAGTGCTGTTATTAGCATTTTGTGAGTTTAGAGACAAAGACAGAATCGCTCACATTTCTTCCAGAGATAGAAAATCGTTCTATTCTTGATTCTTTTGGATTTCCTGTTTTTTGCGTGTGTTTGTGTACGCAAGTGCAGTTCTTACTGGTGGGAAGCTCAGTGGGTCGCTCCACCACAGAGGATCTTTTCAGAGCAGGTTTGAGGGGCTTATGAGGTACTGGACGAGCGGGACTGAAGGACGACTCCTCAGTTGAGATCTGTGTGTACACACACAACACACACAAAGATAAGAAAATGCATTAAAAAGGTCCAATCCTGCTTAAGAGATCAGCATCTCTGTTATTTTTCCACACTCAATAGGGAAAGAGACGGACTTCTGCAGGTGTACATAATGGAAGCAAACACACGGGGACACACGAGGGACAAAGAAAGAAAAGAAACCAGCAGGAGCTGAGAACTAAAAGAATGCTTGTGATGGTCTTGTAAAATTTCATGACTTCAATGACTTGCCCTGTTGCCATTTCCATGACCTAAAAATATTTTCATTTGGTAAAAACAATATTGGTTCGTTTTATGAAAAAAGAAAAGGTAGGGTACTTGTATACCCTACTGTAGATGGGAAACTATGTGAACCTGCCTATTTTTAAATACCCTGAATTACCCAGAGTCTCTGGGCAGTAGCATGGCTGCATGCTTTTCTACACTGTATATATTATTTTCTTAAATATAAAGGGGACCCATTATGTTCAATTCCCGCTTCATATCTTTAGTCTTCCACAGCCATAGCTTTGCATGACTGATATTATAGCAAATTTAAAATCATCAATGTAACTATTTGCCTTTACTACAAATACAAACAGTAACAAATAGTGGTAAGAAGGCACAAAGTCAAAGAAAAGAAGAGACTGAAATGAGCATTGTGCACAAAACACACTCCTTGTTCCTGCTTCCACATCCATCCCTGAGGGCGTTCTGCTCAGCCACTCAGTGCAAACTGATAAAGGATGGGGAAAAAGGAGTTTAAGCACTGCAGTGCAGTACCTGCAACCAATGTGGACATCTATCTTTTACCTGGCTGCCCATTTCCATTTCTTTCTTTAAAAAAATAAAAATAAAAACACAGATAACCTCACACATTCATTCAATTCAAGACCTTGCAATACTGATAGAAACCCCTGGAACAAGCACTGGCAATGGAGAGGGGAAAGTAACTCCAATCTAACAGGAAGAAACCTCCAGGCTCAGGGTATTCCATCAGTTGGGGTGAAGGAAGAGAAAAATAATGAGCAGTGAGAAAAATAAACAATAAGCAATAAAAAACAAGTGAACAATAAACATGGTCAGGTCAGATCAAAAGATCAATCTGTCACGTTCCTGGGTCTGTTGACCCAGCGTTTTGAGTTTTAGTTTATTTGGATGATATTTTTGAGTTCTTTAGGGTAGCTAACTTGTTTATTAGTTTCCCTTTTTGTTTTCTGCCGCTGTATTTAAGTTTCCCTCTCCCTTTGCCCTTTATGTGTTTCATGCTGCGTGTCTTATGTTGTCAAGTTTATATTGTCTTGTCTGTGTCTTTCCTGTTATATTTTGAAGGTCTGTGTCCTATGTCAGTGTAGTCAGCTTTGCTTCCTTTGTCTCGTTATGTCAGACTAGTGTCAGCTGTTCCTCCATGTGTTCCCACTTCCCCTAATCACCTCCTGTGTATTTAAGTCCTCTGTTTTCAGTGTGTCATTGTCAGGTCGTCTGTTGTATGTTTCCAGGTTCTGTGCTCTAGGTATTTTTGTGTCCATGTTAGGGTTCATGTTTTGGGTTTCTATGTTATCTTAGCTCTCCCAGTTTAGGTTATTGTTTAGCTTCTCCTCTGCCTTTTGTTTTGTAATGTTTTCACCAGCCTTAATAAACGGCTCGCTTTCTGTTAACATTTAAGTTTTGTTTCATGGTGTCTGCATATTGGGTCCTTTTCATAATACATAGTCTGCCTCTGCCAGTGAAGGGTCAGAGACATCTGACAGAGAGGAAGAAGCCCAAACTCCACAAGAAGAGATGATACAAAGTTAGTGAAATGAAACATAGTTACACAGAGGAGACATGCTCAGTGCATCATGGGGAATCTCTCAGCAGCATAACTATGGGAGGGGTCAAAGCCACCTGATCCGACACCTGATATCAAAAAGGAAAAATTTTAATATTGCAGATATAACAGGCATGGTCTCTGTCTCCTGAACCCAGTGTGTTATAGAGGCCTGACAGCTGGGGGCTCTGGCTCACATTGCACATGCAGATAATCTAGTAAACAAACACTGCAGGTTTGTCTTTTCTCAGACATCAATAACCTACAAGTTCAGGTAGAAGAAATAAAAATGCTGAATTTGTTACTTTCATTTAAAACTTGTGCTGAGATTCTTTCACAGAGGTGTAGCGTTTTCACCTACACCTATGAAAGAATCTCAGCAGCAGCAACCTCTCACCTGGAAGCGGACTTCCTGGCTGGTGCGCTGGCTGCCGTTGTCATCACTGGCTGGGTCCGACACGATGGATAGGCGTTTCTTCTCCTCGACGGCTCGTTCCCTGATGTACTGCAGCCGCCTGGCACGGCCGAGCTGCTGTGAGAGCAGCGACTGGAGCTGGGAACGCTCGATGGAACCCAGCAGGATCATTGACTCTGGGAGAGGAGGCACAAGAGGAAGAGGGAGAGGTAAGAAGAAGACAAAGAGTGGAGGAGCAAGTTTGCAGAGGCGAGAAAAGTGAAGATAATGTAAACTTGTTTCAGGGACAAAGGGCGAGCACTGCAGGCAATTCCAAACACATGTCGCGGCACTGCAGAGAGCTCAGCTGAGTTACATAACAAAAGCAAAATGCAGTGGATGTGTATTAAGTAGTGTGGTGTCTGTATGTGTGCGAGTGAGTGTGCGTGTGGGTGGCCGCTTACTTGCGTTAAGTAATTGCCTTTGTGACAGTACGTGCTGATTATGTATTTGCTTAAATGCCGGAGCTAATTGTTCCTGCACGACTGCATAATTGAAATAGCGCTCGGAATACCAAATCTGCACTTCAGCGAGGCGGCCGGCGCGATCAGCAGCCTGCACCCAGGCAGGTTTGTCAATCAATCAATTAAACTAATGAGCACATCACCAAGGGCGCTGGAATTTGTTTTTAGTGCGCTTACAGCAACATCAGCAGCAGCATGGAACAATGACATGAATAGCACATCAGACGGGGTGATTAGCATACTGTTCTCACACAGGATTTACTACTGTAATAACTGTTGTGTTTCTTATATCACTTTCACACTGGTGGGTGCTTGGAAGTTTACACTTTTTTCTCTCTCTCTCTCTTTGTTGTAACACATTAAAAGGGACAGTTTTGGGCACACAGAAGCTGGCAGTCAACAATCAACTGTTGTTATTCACTTTGAATATCTGCTGGAAACATCACTGGAAATTTAGGTTATGTAAAGGACCCAGAATGGGTCATTCTGCATGGGAACTGTAAGGATTGCGCCCTTAAAATCTGAAAATCTGTGAGCAAAACAAACACAGCCTTTCACAAATATACATTGTTTGCGGGTTTTTTAAGCTATTGAGGTATTTTCTCTGTTTACATTGGGGTTTAGTCAACCTCTGTTGCATTTTGGGCACTTTTGCAGTGCCTTTCTATTTACTGGTATTTTTTCAAGTTGCAGTGCATTTGCCCTCTCAGTGCCACTGTAGATGTCACTTAAAAAGACAGTAAAGCATTCTGGTACAGAAATGTTGTGTGATGTCTGGGTGAAAAGTGACAATTATGGATAGACATTAATCAAAAAATTGGTCTTTTTTTAAATCTTAAAGTCCTTTCATGAGGACAGAGGCATACACAACGCATACTGACTGTGACACAGATGAATGACTACGCTAACAGCTAAAATATAGAAAAATGGAGAGATTATGTCTCACCTTGAACACCTCACTGATCTAGAGGAGGTGGTCTGGGATACAGTTGGGCTTTTCTCCTCTGCTTAGGCAGAAAATGGATGGATTGAAATTTTGTTATTTGTTTTCTTATTTGATTTAAATGAATGCTTAGTACTCTTAAAGTAGGGTCTTTAGTCATGAATAACAACAAATCTTTATATTCTTTTTATTGAATGACTCAGACCCTGTTTGCTTTGATGGTAGTCCCTGATCACTGACAACAATGTAGGTGAAAAGAACCTTTTCAGAGCCAGAACATTCATCTTTTATATAGGATGTGTCAAACTGAGAGAATTATGCAGCTTTGTGCTATGCAGTGGGCATGTCAGAGCTATTTTGCTGACAGCAGCAACCTGCTGCAGCTGGAAACAAGAATGAGAATGGAGTTATGTACAAGACAACAAGTATAATGAGCTAAAGATAATTGAGATTAATACAACCAATTAAAACAGAGTGTTGGGTTATACAACATTTCTCTGTGGGTTTGTAGTCACTCATACTACAGTGTGAGTGGCAACATTTCAATTATACACAGCAATCTGGGCCACTGGGAAATATTAGTGCAGTTTCAATGCCCATTTAAGGCCAGTGATTTGCCCAATTTGACCATCTTTTGGAAGACTAATTTGATTTGCCAAACAAAACCAATTTACAGACTGTGCACACTCTATGCTAACAAGCACAGGTGTCAGTGGGAGTGGGAGCTGTGTGTTCAGTTTGTGTTCAGCTCAGCCTTCGATTTCATTCGAAATTGAGCAGAAACTCAGAAGTGACAAATAAAGTTTATTCTGTTTTGTTATAACAAAGACTACAGCACAGAGCTGTGTCATACATATATAAACCAGTGCATTCTGACTTTAAGTTACGCGTTTCAAACTCGATTTTGGCCCATCAGAAATTTGAATCCAGACCACCTACTAATTTGTGTGCAAAGTGCACACACTTAAAATAAAATAGCCAGACACACCTCGAATGCACCTGCAAGCTAACATACTCACAAGAAAGAAAAGTAAACGGTGGAAGGCAAACAATCTCAAGAGGTTTTTACTGACTATTGGTTACTGACTTCAGTTTGGGTTGTTATTTTTGAACCACACATCAGCAGAGCCATGCAGCCATGCAGTGGCTCTGAAGTCAAAAGAGGGATGCAGTTATGCCAAAAGTGTTCTCAGAAATCTCAAAGTGCTGGAGCTCTGACTTTCTTCATATCAGAGGAAGTGGCTAAGGACATCTAGGGGGTAACTTTGCAATCAATCAACAATTAATTTAATTAAAAGTTGTGTTCAGCAGTGGTAGACGCGGGCAGATTTCATCATAAAATGCAACCCAATAACAAGGTTTTACTGATTCAAAGCATTAATGATGCCGACTTTGTAGAAAATGTATGAAATAACATTCAAATGGCACAACGGGGCTAATAGTAACCAATTTTACACATTGGTGATTTTCAATAGGCTCCATATTGACCCCTGGTGGTTCGAAATTTCAGTTTTTAGACAAACCTTTGAAGTTAATTATTAGACATGCACACATTTTTTTAAATTTGTCTCTATTTGTGCTGTAGACACAGATAAATACAGTCATGTGGTTTCTTATAGAAAAAATATCTGGACATGTGTGCCATTGGAAATAAGTGTATGTATTGCAATGAAACCTGTTTGTGTATCAACAAGTGGAATAACGTGAAACTAAACTTCTAAATGTGTTACTCAGACTTTATACTGATCTCTACGATGGTGCATGTGTGTTTGTGTGTACCAGCTGATTCCACGAGTGCGAGAGTTTTGAGCTGGCCCGTCAGCAGCACGTTATGCAGGTCTCTGTAGCAGCAGTTGAGTGTGATGTACCGCACGTTGCGTACCATAATGTCCTCTACACGAATATTGTACTTCCTGAAATGAGAAAAGAGGAGAGACATTTATCAAGTGGTCATAAAGATGAGAAAAAAAAAGTGAGAATAAGACAGATGGATGCGAGAATTTATTTTTTATTTTTTTAAACATTCCTCTGAATAGCCCTTTTGTTGCTGACTTGTAAAAATGTTGTGACTGTCATGCATTTTTTCCTCTGATCAACAGTCAACTGAAGCTTGATTAGTGCATGGATCTATAAACACTTCCCCCCACATACTGTACGGCTTTGACAGCACATCCTTCTTTCAGCTGACCGGTCAATCCAATAACACCTTACTCTGTCGACACGTCATCCGGATGCTGGTGCTCTGCGTACAGTATTGGAAAGTGGGTGACATTTCGCGAGCAGCTCTTGCCTCAGCATAATCGTACGCCCCAGTACACCAGTCAGAAACACTCGCATTTCTCTCCCTGAGAAAGCCTGAGCCGCCAAAACCTGCAAACATGACCGCAGTCACTCAGTGGTTTTCGCTGCCAAGCCTCCGCAGCCGTGCCAGGATGCAGGCTCCTTCTGTGGTGACAAGTCAATACACTGACCTCGCTTTAAATACAAAGGTAAATTGATGACCATTGTCTGCCAGCTCCTCTTTAATACACACAATGCATGAAGTTAGTCCAACGGGAAATGAATGGCAACAACACAGTTCTGCAGAAAGATTTTCTATTGACTCTCTTGAGGTGTTGTATCAAAGCCTAAATCCACTTTACAAACAGTATTCGAGGGTCAATTAACCTACACTGTAATGAGTAGCATCTCAACCATGTTAGACAAGAACATGAAAACAGGAAGGGAGTTCTTCTAGAACCAGTATTTTTTTTTAATGCCACTGGACATAAAACTCGAGGCTGAAAAACTGTCCAATATTACCGTAATTCCAGGAAATGATTGATTCAGTATCTAAATTCAGACAGTGTTGGATTTATTTGTCTAGGTTTTGAGGTATTTACTTCCACTGTACACAACGGAGGTGAACTAAATCTTGTTTGTGTGCCTCACAGCACTGAAAAATGACATTAGGGGCACCAGCTTTCATTTTTCATCGGAAGCACTTTGGAATTTAGTTTCAGAAAAAAATGGTCCCAAAGAAAAATCCTTATAGTGAGGAAAGTAGACTCCTAGAAAGAAATGAATAATTGAAATATAACTTTTCGATTTTATGTACCCTCAGCAGGCATGTGCCTATTAGATTTATTCCCACCCTTTTACAAAGCTTGCCAAAACCCTAACCCTATGGCTATATAACAAGAGGACAATTAGAAAAAAACATGCAGTTTTGTGATCTAATTGAAAGTAATAGAAGGTCTTTATCTTTGTTATCAATAACTCACCACTTTTAGACATCTTGTAAATCAAACCATGATCAGAGACCATGAAATGTTAATGAAATTCAGCATATTTCGGGCACCACTAAAGATTTTCCTGCTTCTCTACATACCTAATGTTATCATTAAGAGAAAAAAACATTGGAAAGAGACTGAATCGTTACAGTGCTCTATTAGTCTGCAATGGAAAGCAGAAAATTTAAAAAAAAGGTGAGCAAAAAGATCCTTTCTGGTGCAATAGCAGCCTCTTTTAATTTGATAGTGGATCTGAGGGAATAATGTAATGCATGCCTCTGAACTGGCCACAACCACTGCCAAGACTAATTTCCCTCGAGATATCAAAGGCAGTTGATGAAATGTGATTGGTTTCTTCTTAATTGGACCTTCCTCCCCTGCAAAGACTGGGCAGGAAGATACTGATCAGTCTGATTTATATCGAAGTGAGCATCAACCTATATGTTTGAGCCAAGAGAAACAAGCTTATAGGGTTATAAACCCAGGCTTCATAGATCATCCACATTGCTCAGGGCAGAATGGAGGGGAGGGTTTGGCTGTTAGGTTTCTGCATGCTTGAGTGAAGAGGGTGCAGACATTCAGGACAAGCAGTGAAAACTAATAGCTAAAGGGCTGTAATGATCATCTGCTGGAGCAATTATTGTCAGAAAAATAGAGATAACAGCGGACTATAGACTATTCAATCAATCAGAACTGGCCATTATGAAATGACTAAGAAAAGCAAAGTGACAGAATAAACAAAAGTCAAACACATAGAAAGTGATGTTATGTAACAGTCGCCACACTTTCTTTCAAATGCCACTCCAGTGTTGAAGAACGGAAGGCACAGGAAAAGGTTTCATATGTGCAGCGGATCATATATCAGATCTCTGTATTTGTGTCCATCTCAACATGTCTGCTTGTATCTGCACTCATATCTGTAAGAGTTGTGCGGGAGCAAAGGATTGAAAAAAAAATCTAATTCTGTCCATGCCTGTGTGGGAGTATGAGCAAATGTACATGCTATCATACGCGTGCACTGCACGGCAGGCATTACACAAGTGTTCCTGGATTTGTGAGTGTGTGTGTGTGTGGGTGGATGGTTGCGTGGGTGTGAGATGGATAATTTCCAGTTAGAGTGAAAAACACGTTCTGCTTGGAGCGGGCCACACTACCTACCTACAGTGTCTCACCTACAGGTCCGCCTCCACTTGCGTATGCTGCAGACACACGCACACACACACACACACACACACACACAGGCCTGCTGATGGAAAGTGGTGTGTGAGAGAGAGTGAGGAAAGAGGCAACAAAGAAAATAGAGTAAATGAAGGAGGAGGTAGGTAAGAGCTTTCTGCATAACGAGTCAAGTTCATGGAGGCCTATGTGTTATTGAAGATAGATGATTCCAAGAGTTTGTGTACGTGCTCAGTGTTTACACACAAACAAACACATTATACATATCATATGGATACACAATACTGGCAACGTGTTGTTATATACAGAAAATGACAGATGGTTGTGTCATGACTTATCAATATGTCCAGGCTCATATCCACACACACACACACACACACACACACTCTATGCATGTGCGATTTTAAACATTTGCAAACGTAATCATTAAGATCCACACACACAGCCACCTGCCTTATATAGTGTTGGTCCCCCTTATCCTGGTAAAAGAGCCTGTACTGTCGAAGCATAGGCTCCACTAGACCCCTGAAGGTGTGCTCTGCTATCTGCCAACATGTTAGCAACAGATCCTCTAAGCCGTAAGTTGTGAGGTGAAGCCTCTGTGGATCAGACTTGTTTGTCCAGCACGTCCTACAGATACTCTGATGGACTGAGATCTGGGGAATTTGGAAGCCAAGTCAACACGTCAAACTCATTGGTATGCTCCTCAAACTGAGCAATTTTGCTTTGTGGCAAAAAGCCTTGGGCACACATGACCCTGTCACTGGTTCATCACTGTTCCTTCTTGGACCACTTTTTATAGATACTGACCACTGCAGACTGGAAACATGCCACAAGAGCTGCAGTTTTGGAGATGCTCTGACCCAGCTGTCCAGCCATCACAATTTGGCCCTTATCGTTATGCCTTATTTTTGCATGCATGGACAACTTGGATCTTATTTAGACATTACAGGATTCATACAATATTATTGGAGGAAGTTGCGTTATGTGAATTCATGGGAAAATTCTTTTTAGGCTTCTTGTAATATCACAATGACCACTAGGATATATTGAGATAAAGGCTACCTATGCTTTATGCAGCTAATTTGAACTGCAACAGTTGGCAGTAATGAGGTTAGATGAAAAAGGTGCCACACTGGAAAAATCCTTTAGACAGGCCACTGAGAAAAAAAAAAAAGGTTTTATTTTTCAACCAAAGTGTTTCCAATGAGAAAATTCAGTTAGTGTGAGAGAAAATTAGCTGGTTTACAAAACTTTACAAATATAAGTGAGAATAATATTCCAACCTACACCGAACAGCAGTGCTAAACAGCCTCCCCAAGCTTTTTCATGTGGCCCTGCTATGGGTGAGGTAGCCACAAATAGCATTATATAATCAGAAATAAGAGGAACCTACAAACTAGACAACAACTACTTGGTGAAAACACAGCTCACGTTGCAGTTTCTTACTCTCCCCGACATACACATGCATACACGGACAAGACAAGATAGTGAGAGTGTGATTGAGAGGCCACAAGGTCACAGCAGATAATAAGAAGAGACAGAGGAGCAGAGAGCAGATAGAGTGAGAGGGGAATAGATAACGAAGAGATGGACAGCGAGGGTCAACTGAGGTGCTGGCATAGGACTGTTCGATATAACGATATATATCTGATGACGATATAAAAACGTCTATTGTTTCATTTTATGCTATCGTTTGTTTTGTGGTGTCGCAAAATAAACTGTTTACGGCAATATTTTTTCATCGTTTTGATGGTCACTGTAGTGGCTATATAAATTTCTTAAAGTTCTCTCTTTCTCTTATATTTATATAACCACACTATGGATGGACAAGAGCCTGTTTTTATGCGTTGTGGTTAGCAACAACGACGGTAACAGCATTGCGTGTCCACTTGTTTATGTTCCACATAAACCTTTCACAATAAAGCTCAACATCCTGTTGAGACTTTTCAAAATAAACTGAATCACGTGAAAGAGCAGATTATTTACGGATGAGAATTAAAAAAAGAGCCGCCAGGTGCTAAAAAATAAACCTTAGACTCAAACGTTAGATCACGCTTTTCCCCGCAGCACGCCGTGTAATAAATACTCACAAAGAAAACGGCGGCCTTTACAACTTATATGTATATACTATACTTATATGTAAAATGTATAGTTTCATGCATCAGTTAAAACACTTAACTCCAGCTACATGACGCCCAGCTGGAAACACTTCCTGCAAGATGAGCTGCCCGAGATTCACAGAATTTACAGAAAATGTTACATTTTTGTGATTTATATCGTTATCGGGACGATAGAATTCTTATATTGGGATATGAGATTTTGGTCATATCGCACAGCTGGCATGTAGGTGAAGGACTCAAGCAACACACATAAATGTAACTCTACAGGGAACAGCTTCAGAAAATAATGAACAAGCAGAGGACCAAACAAAACTTTTCCTCATTGCTTTCAATTTGTGAATGCCGCATCAAAATCCAACTATTATGTTCACCTAATGATTTGGCAGCATCTATAACATCAGTTCCAAACAATTACACCAACAGCGCTTTTGTATGGAATCACAGAGCTCTGATGACACCAGGCAGTGGGTAATCCTATTCAGCATTGTGTCTTTGGCATGCATTATTATTAAATGTGAAGTCCATTAAAAGCCATGTACCAAGCCAGGTTCCTCCAGCCACACTTTTTTGTGCAACAGATTTTACTGTAGTGCTAGGATTGAGTTTAAACACCCAAATTAAAGGCAACAGTCAAAGCCATTAAAAAACACTGCAGACTATTGCTGAAGCAAGTGTATTCAGTTATTTAGTGAGCAACTAAACACAAATGTATTCATACAGTCAGTATATTTCATACAGTTTAGCCATAGTATGTTAGGCTGAGGTAATCAGCAGAATGAAATGTCTCAACGCTTCATTCATAGTTAAACAGCGTGCCACATAGGACAAAATTCCCTGCTGAGCCTCCAGTTTGACTCTACACAAGCCACCCTTTGCTACAATGTCATTACCCTGCTATCCACAAATCCTAACTTTATTGCAACATCTAATAAAAGCTGCCCTGCGAAATAACTTCCATGGTTGATCATGGTTGATCATCAGTCACTGAGTGCCACCATAAACTTATCAGCGCCATTAAAGAATCTACAGTTGTGGTTGAAATTTCTCTACAACTAGTAATTTCCCTTTGCCAGCTTAAAAAGGATTTCTTTGAAAACACTCATTGGACTGACCAATCAGAACAATGCAAAAGCTGAAGTCTCTTTCACACCTTAGAAAGGTTTCTTGGAGCCACATCTGAGGTTCTGAGATCATCAGTTTTACCAACTGTGTAAATGCAAGCTATTCAGATGTGTCACTACATTGCCTAGGTCTGGAAGAAGACTCACACTGTCACCCTCAGAGAGGAAATTGTTCAGGAATAACCCAGGAACCACCTAGGCGCAAACCTGCCATGAACTACAAACTGCTGGAACATCTGCATCACTGTCAACCGTGAAAGTTTAATATCACCATGGACTAACATGGTGCAGACCAAGAAAGAAGGCAATGCTCCAAACTAGACACCTTTACATGTGTTCACATGCACAATGCCTTTTAGAGATGTTTTTTTTTTACTTGGCACAAATAGTTACCAGAAATGTCAGAAAAAGTTATGTTTAGAGCAATAAAAAATGAACACTAACCGTGTAGGAACTATAAAGCATGGTGGTAGTGGTAGCATAACTCTCTGGAGCTGTTTTGCAGTTTTCTCTGGAGCTGTTTTTAGCTGAAAAATTTACACTACTGGGTGTTCCAACAACACAATTTTCCCAAACACATTAAAACATTTTTCGAATTGATAAAAGAGGGTGACATTAAGCTTCCGGCATGAACTTGTCCAGCAAGAATAATGCCACTATATAATAATATGCTGTACATAATGCTGCTAATGCTGCTTAAATTAAAGTTACCTAAAAAGGGACTATATATATAATTTCTCCGACAATGCGGTGGATTCAGACTAACACTCTAATATCTGCAAAATGTATTTTAATTGCTATCATGCCAACGTGATCATGCCAAAAACTTGAAAGCTAAATGGTAGCATGCTGTCTGTGGGCTAATGTAGGTACAGCGAGTCTGACTCTGCCCCAAGGGAGCAAAATTCCTCTCATACAACCTCTGAAGTATATAAATTTCCATGTTATGATTTGCAATGCTTAACTTCACATAATAATAAGTTACGCTAACAGCATAATAGGGGTGCCTTTATATTTACCAGATAAATATAACAAAGTAATAAATCTTCTAATTCAGCTCCCACCAATTAACGTGTGCATTCTTTTTTTTGAGATGACATACAGTTTTATTGGGCCCACTGACAACTTTATCATGCTAACATTTTAAAATCATTTTGTCTGTGGGCTAATAAAATTATAGCTGGCCTCAAGCTGTCCTAGGTACCAAAAATTAGCCTAGTAACACTTCTAATGCTGAGTAATTTTCATGTTGTACTTGTTTAATCTCACACTATGCTAAAGCTGACACACTGGTGGTCATAGTGGTCTTTCATTTACAAGCTATGCTACTGAGCTTTTCAAAATCATTAACAAAATCAATAAATGCATTTACCCTAATTTATTCCTTTCTTTGACGCATACTTTTAAATTTGATTTCTTAACAATTTGATGCATAGATATTACATGACCTTTGACCTTTTGCACATACTATAAACCTTTACCATTATTTTTTGAATTCTTATTAGCTTTTGGTTTAGTAGTTAACATTCTGCATAATGGTATTTACAAAATTAAAACTTATTTGTATTTTGTCTTGTTGTGTGCTGGTGTTCCTCTAGAATATACATACTCGTGATGACCCCAGCCCAGCTCTGGGAGGTAGGGAAGCTTCTTGATCCTGATGATGGAGTCGTAGAGGGAGGGCTGCAGGGACTGGGCCACGGCATTGGCTAAGATCACTGCTATCATCACTGGCAGGATGTGGGAGATCTGGCCAGTCAGCTCAAACACGATGACTGCAGTAGAAACTGTGTGGGTGACTGCTCCTGACAAGGCTGCAGCACCTTTGGGTTTGGGAGAGGACAGTGGGGTTAGTAGAGGACCAGAGAGAGAAAGTGTAGAAAGAATTGGTTAGACGTTTGCTTGTAAGGTGAGATTTGGGGCTTTAGAAAGGGGTCCTTTGGGTGGCATTCAAAGCCCCCCCTCCAAAAACAGATGGGTCAATACTAATATGATTTCAAAGAGCAATAAAATACTATCTTACTGTCCCCAGGCATATGACAAAGAGAACTGTTGATTAATGCCAGAGACTCAAGATTCTGACAAGCTGCTAAAATTTCTAACTTACACATTTCTCTTTCTGAGTCTCAGTTCTTCAAAGGTCTTTTGAAGATGTTAAAAGAAAAAAAAAACTCTTTCTTGCACTTGGTTTCTTTACCATATTAATCCATCATCAGTACTTCATTACTGTCTGCTTTCCCCCCCAAACTACAGGAAGTAAAATTAGCCAATCCCAAGATGAAAATACATAATCAGAAGTCTTTCAAACTATACAATAGAAAAGCTAACAATGACGAATTACTTGTTTTGGAACATGATCTATAACTTTCTTGTGTGAATTAGAGCAGTGCTTTCGGATGTTTTATAACAAACCTTCCAAGACTCTTTACTTCAACTACTACATGTCCATATTACACTATTATTGGTTGTTGCTGTTAGCTGTGATATAACATCTTATAAAAACATGTATAAAAAGTGGTAATTTTAGGCTTTACTTCCCTCGGTACAATCAGAAACTGTTTCTACTGAGCCTATAAAGACCTAAAAACTGTACTTGATTTAAATTAGCACGCTATATTTAACCATACACTGTTATGGTCGTTGTTACTACATTTCAATCCAGTTTTGACTTGGCAGTTCTGCTGATTTTTTAGTGGTCATAGCCGGAGAACTGGTTTTTATTACTGTGACAGTAATCTTCGTTTTGAAGTTTTGGTCATTTTAGAAAAAAAACCTTTGAGCTTTGTGCTCGGCAAACTTCAAGGTACATAATTAAACTTCAAATGTCCACCTCCAAGTGTTTAAATCGATATTCCTACAAAACAGTCCAAATGCAGCAGGTGTACAAGATGTGCTCTAGCACTACACATGGATCCAAGCTTGACAGGGGAATTGAATGAACTTAAATCATTAACAGCATTTAAAAAAAATTATAATAATTTTACGTTAGTGTTGTAGCGTGCACAGTGGGATAGATTCTTTACATTGTCTACAAGAAGCTGTACATTATATAGAACACATTTCTAATCTAATCTACAAAATCAAACTTCAGATTTGGAAGTTAATTCACTCGAAGAGTCTTAAACAACAAAACAACAGAGCACTTCGCTCTCACACTGCAGGCTTAC